CGAACCAAACTCGCTTAGCACCAGTGCCAACGCTGTTTACGATTCCATTCCAATCCTCCAGACCACGCGTTGGCGTCCAGTGGGTAAGTTTCATCGGTAATGGTAGCCCCCAACACCCCCGTGTCACTGAATGACAGTGATTTCAGACAGCCCCTACACCTTTACTCCTTCCCCCAAGAAGGCTAAAATCTGCTTTTCCAGCTATGTAGGATGAGATTGCAGATGTCACAAACTTGTGCTACTGAAAGGAGTGAACGAAAGTTGTCTTCCGAACAGATGATTCCCAATCTGCTGTCAACGCATTCCAGCAAGAGTTGGATGCTAGAATTGAGCCAGTACCAATCTTAGCATGAAAGCTATGACCAAATCACACCCCATGGAGGACCTTTTTTACAGAATTATTGTCGATTAGTTTTTTTCTGTGAAACACATATTGCACCTACTGGAAATACGTGAGTTCGCCATTTCCACCGATCATAAGATACTAGAAACACTCAGGCCGTGCACAATAGATTGCGGCGATAGCACAGGCATCAGCTACGGGTTGGAAGGCGTAAGATGCATGGATGTTTGGCAGGCTACAATTACGTTGACACCTTCCCAGCACACCCACACACACGAGATCTAGTGCACTACGATCATTCTTGAAAAGCCATGGACCAAATAACACGTCGGTGTGCGTCCGATCGCGTATAAGTCCGATGCTTTGGCAATAAAGAACATGCAAGGACGACAGGCTAGCAAGAATTTGTTGAATATGCCAGCAACACTTTTGATATATCGAACAACGCGCATCAACACTTGCATAGAAACCACACAATTAGCACACAAACTAAAACATGGCTACATGCATTTGCACCCCTGACTCCATTAGTGAAAGCAGAACGGTCACACAGGCACGCGCACCGCACACATCCACCCACGAAAACACATCCTTCCTCAAGGCAATTGACTGGGTAAAATTCGAGCCAGGTTAGTGTTGTAAATTAGATGACAGCTTATATTATGTTTATGGCGTCAAATTTTGTGGAAAAAATGACAATGGAATTTGTGTTGGTGAGGGGAAGAGGGGAAGTTGGAGTTGGGGTAAGCTTGGGTCGCAGACGTGGGAGTAGAAGAGGTGAATAGGCAGGGTAAGATTGAAATGGGTGATAAAATCACTTTCTTCTCTGTGTCATATCTGGTGTTTGGGGTCCGCAAACTCCAGCACCTCTCACATCACTAGTAAGCATATTTGATCCAACGCCCGCTTAAAAGCAGTCGCTTCACCTCCTTCCATATGCTTTTCACTGTGCGGCCGTCTAGCAGCACTGAGTTGGTCGTCCTTCGACGAACCTCACGCATGCTAGGGCACTTGCCTTTCACAAGAAGGTCCTTAAACATCTACCATAGAAAAAAACATTACACGTACTTTAAACATTTACATAGACAAACATTTCCTGAAACGGCAATATTCAGCTGCACCAGCCAACAGAAACTTCTAAATTAAAACAAGATTCAGGCAAATTTACTGACACATTCACCACCTGACTTATGCACCTGGACAACTAACAGCGTCTCAAGGTCATCGAAGACCCGATTGCGAGGTCCTTCCATTGAAGAGGAGGAAGAGGAGGAAAGCGGCGAAGCAGGCGATTGGTGGTTGCCGGCGCCAGGTGTAGGCTGAGGCGAAAGACGGCTTCCACTTAGGGCAGTCGTCGTGTTGCCTTGGTCTGCCACATCCGCATCGCCATCACCGCCACCACCGCTAGCGCAACCTCCCTGCGTCTGAAGCACCTGCTGCTGCTGCACGTTATGGTCGCGTTCCGCTCTACCTATAAATCGGAACTTCAGATGTCCACACCAAATGATCAATCACACATTCACAACAGTTTTGTCGGGTGTGATTAGGCAATCTCACGATGACGCATTATTTTGACACCACCCAGTGGCCGCACAAAGCCACAGTCATTTAAGCAACTACGTCACCCAAACACCCACAAAACCACCCCTACAATGTACGTGCAAACTGTGGCCCTAACAAACGGACAAAACGCACCTGTGCTCAGGAATAAGGCTAAAGAAGCACAAATTCGGTGTCACATCTTCTTAAGCTAGAAGTGTCAGAAAGCGACGCGCATTACGCGGAACACTTTAGATGCTCCAGGAAAAATTTGCACAACTTCTGATTGTTGGATGATGAGGGAACAGTGCATGGAAAGCCTTTCTCTGTGTATCATCACACGCACACGCACACACACACACACACGAAAACAGGCCAGACACAGGATACACACACTAGACTCACGCTGGATGCACGTACTAACCACAAACACGCGAACGCATCAGCCACAGATAAGCCGTCCTTCATAGCTAATTAAGCGTACTTGCACACATCCTAGACACTAAACACGCACACTCTACAGATACGCACAAGCACACAGGATGCACGTATACACAGGGCACTGAGTAGTTGTCCTACGTAACTGACCTAAACACCCACACGTGCGCACGCCCACAATCAACACACGCACACCCATGGTTTAGACAAACACACACCAAAATCAACTACGCACGCCAAATTCACACACAAATATAGAGCACACACAAACACACATAATTCACATGAGCAGAGATAGAGAAGGAACTTCACATACCTTCAGAGATCTCACCGCCATCTCCACCACCACGACCACCACTAGTGCTGGGGATAATTGTGTCGCTCTGGGAAGGCGTGTCGTCGGAGATGAAGAGTTCTTTAAGGATGGACTCAATTTCCGTAGGCGATGTCTGTTCATCTGTTGAGGCGTCCGGTGGAATGCTACTGATCCAAAACCCCACCATTTCCCACCGTTCCTGACGCAACACAGTCAATAACCATGGTTACTCACACACACACACACACAAACACTATATAATCACAATCAATCATCCGTTTCTGAGCAGCCCCTAAAATTTTGACAATATTCAAGGAACCTAACTAGGAATTTGCAATGCGACATTTTGTTGGTCTG